TGTTATTGTTACAAAGAATAGTTTGTAGTTTCGTGTTACAAATGAAATAAGACTATATGCCCTCTCATAATTGGGCTATAAAAGTAAGTAATAAAAAGCATGAATTTAGTAGAATTGTGATAATTCCCGCCGAAATAAATTTGTTTGTGTATAGGTATCTGAAAAAAATCAGAATCCACCTTAAGCAGGGTTCTCCTGGTATGCACCTTTTTTATTATCAGCCTTTTAATCTGACATGTGTCATATATCTTTCTACCATTAAGTTCTCATTGTATAGAGGAAAGAACAGTCTTAGAAGGTTTTACGTTTGAGTTAACGCCAGATACGTGTGGAATATCATTAGACATTCGTTAACATATTTTCACCGATAAAAAACAAGGTTGTTTTCGGGAAATAAATAGAAATGTTAAAATAATCAATTCAAGTTTTGTCTTGCGTCGCGTTTATTAGCAAAGAATCATAAAAGCGTGTCGGCAATAGCACGGCTATTAGTAATTTACATTCGGTATTGTGTTTCGGAATTTATTTCGGTAATGATGCGAGACCTAATCATGACCGCAACTTATGGCTTGCCGATCCTAAATCAACACGTTGTTGTTTTCCGAAAAGTTCTTTGCCGACCCGCTGAGCTGCTTATTCGAAATGTCATACGTGTCAAGTTTTAAGACCGAAATGAATGACCACTCGACTCCAAGATGCTAGTTCTACGGTTTCTTCATCACAATTATAAGTTTTTGCAAAGCCAAAGGTACTCTTGCGTAAGTGATGGCTACCGTTGCGAGACGTAATAATACTAATTTCTTCTCGAAAGTGTTAACAAAAAATGAGGAATACTGTAATAAATAAGTAGGAAAAAGCGACGAGGTTTAATGATGAAAACCAGTGAGCGGATGCGACGATATACTTTACAATTGACCGACAGTTGGGGCTTACACGCGATCTGATCATCAACTATGCGACATTTGTATAACGCCAACTTTGTATATTTACACCCGGTGAGTCGCTTAGAATAATTGAGGGACACTCGAAATTACGAGTAATGCAGGACCAGAGCTTTATTTACGTTTTTTTTGGTGCCCGAACACAAATTACCAAAAATTGACTATCCGACACTTTCTTCAACACTCCACTACAGCTGACTCTATTCGATTAACTTTCAAGTTTCAAAAATTGAAATGCTATACTTTTACCAAATTTATTCTCAGATTAAGCTTTAGGTTTATATTCTTTAATGCTAGTAAAAAATAAAAAAATGTTTAAGCTGTTTTAATTACCACATCTTATTTATTAATTAGGTGTGTAGGTATATTAAAGATGACCTAAGCAAAATAAACTTTGGATAAACACACCTTTCAACACCTTGAAATAAATTTACCATCAAATGAGATGATGATGAAATTGCTTTTTCTTAGAAAAATCAAAGTTACATTTTATCTAAAATTGGGTTCTAGATTTAGTAACTAAATAAAAATTTGTAAAATACGTAATTATGTATTTTAAATAATGTTAATTAACAGTCTTTTGTTGAAGTAGTAAAAAAAATTAAACTATTTTGGTATTCCTATGTAACAACACTTCTGACGCATTAAACGAAATTGTTCTAATGGAATTTTATGGTTAATTTTTTGACGTTTCGAAAAACCAATAGAAACATTCAATTTTAGTCATTTGTGTCTCTTTTAGCCAATCAAAACAAAATTATAGCGGAAATTTTCCACTTACAAAATTGCCGTAAAAGAGAACAATTTTTTTTTTATTTGACGTCTGATTTTTGATTGTAAACGTTAAAAAATAAATCCGTCAAATACCATAAGGGACTTGTTATTTGATGATATAATTCCTTTTATCTGCAAACGTCAGAAAAATGATGCTTTTATGACTAAATGACACAAGTAAAAGTTTTACTTTTCAGCCATGTAGTAAAAACACTGTTTTTCGCCTAAGCGTTTTTCACTTTTACCTAACATTTACTATGACATTTACCAATGTTTGTCTTTCTTGTCTCTTTCGCTGCTTCAGGAATCATGGTGTAGATTATCAGCATTCGACATTTTGAACCACTATAAACTATTTACACTAGTTATTCATTTTATTATTTTATTTTGGTCATTTATTTCATAATTATTGTGTTGCTCTTTTCTCCCCCATCTGAATCGATTGCAAATAGTATGTGTTATTTGGAGTAAAAGTACAGGTTTATGTGGCTCAGTTGAATCATTAAACGTTAAAATAAACGTTCAGCTTTGGCACATAAACTATCATTTTAACTCCTAATAACATAATATACTATTTTTTATGAATAACAAATTAAAGATTCTAACCACGATAAAAACTTAGTAAAGTCCTTGTAATAAAAATAACATTGTATAGTGATACACATTCATGCATAAAGTAAATATTAAAATAAACAAAGAAATAAAAAATAAAACAAATTAATACATCTAGTACAAAAGTACGTAATTCGTTCAAAAATTCGTCATAAAAAGTATAAATGAACGATAGAATTCATATTCACATATCGTAATTTAAAATATATATCGAGTAAGTAAAAATATACAGCGTAATTCAAAAAGACCGTACAACCACTTGTATAAATTACTTTCAAAATTGCAAACACAAATGTTGTATCAATTTTCCATAGTAGTTCTAACTCTCCAAAAGTGTAATATTAATATTAAATTTTTATTAATTAGAGAAAATCATTTTGTGTTTTTTAGTAAAAAAGTTAAAACATGCGTCTAAAATATTAAAAAATAAATGAAATGTGCATAAAACCCCTGTCAAATTTAGAGATTTTCTCAAGAGGTAAAGTTTGCAACATCAAATCAAAAATTTGTTCGTTTTTATAGTAACAAACGTTTCAAATTATAGAGTGCAGACATAAGGTGGTTCAAAATATACTGCAGCGTTACCAATTTGTGCTATCTTTAAATATTCCTAGTTTCAAAATCACGCGACCTAAAAAAATTATAAAAGCAAATCTGAGCTTCTGCAAGTAGTCATACGAGTAAAGCTCGTATCCATAAACATTAAATTTTAACGACCTAGGCTATTATTGTTCTCATAACAAGCATGAAGGCAGTGCAGATATGATCGAATAACAATCAAGTAACACAAAAAACATTTAAAAATTTATATGCAATAAGAATCATAGACACCAACCCACTTTATCACCAGAAATTATTTTTATGTATACGGAATATTTCAGAAATAAGTTGCAATACAAACTATAGCTATGAATGCTGATGTTTTTAAACTAATGTTAAATAGTTTTCGAACTTTAATTTCTTTGACAAAATACTCTTTTTTAATATTTATTACCCAAAATCTATAAATTTTGTATAACTACCTATACATTTTTGACAATTTTATTTTTACCAACTCACTGCAACACGCGGTGTAGATATTGATGTTAAACTTTTTTTAGTTATTTTTTATAATACATATTGTAATTTCATCATCAATGAATAATAGTGAAGATTATTTAATGTTGTAAAAGAATACAAATAAAAATTTTCATAACATAAACAAATTCTTTTTTTGCGTAATTTATTTTGTTATTTAACCAAATAGCTCTTATAATTCCAACGTCGCAACTGTGGACATTTAAATTTTTCCACGCTGATAGATGATATTTACTTGTTATTTATTCTACGAGTTTGAGTGTAAATCGGACGCATTATTTCACCGAATGGATTTTTAAACCACGAGTGTAACGAGTGGTTTATCATCCACGAGGTGGAATAAAGCATCCGATTCACACTCAAATAATCTGACGTTTTGTATTGAGAAATGCCAAACAGTTGTCAAAACTTCCTTACACGGGAGAAAAACAGTAAATTTTGACAGTGTCGAAGAATAAAAATATGTTTCTACATTGTTGTAAAATCGTCAATGCGTAAAATTTTTTTTTCTTTTTCTACATTATTCCTGTTCAAAGAACATGCCCAAGTAAAAAAATTAAGTGGTAATTGTTGTAACGCCACCTTATGTAAGAGATATTATAATTATAAATGTATTAAAAATGTACAAGTGTTAACCTCCCTTGTACAAACCTTATCACAAAAAAATGTAATTTACGCACGTGTTTGCGTATTTTTATCAAAATATTTGTCTTTGCGATAATTTTACACTAATAAAGATGTTATCCTGTAATTAATAACAAGTAAAGGTTAAAACAGCGAATATAGAATGTCTGTTATCAGAGTAATGGCCAGGAAAGTGTGTACTTATGTATTGTCCATACTATTTATCACATCTACTTAACTTTTTTCAGTATTACAGTAATTAGCGTTATTGTTAGGAGTCAGTTGTTGTATATGCAATTGCATCGTGTTTGATCCGTTGGAACAGCTTGCGTGCAGTTTTTCATCATATGTATCCGTTTAAACTTCTTTGTTCATTGTAAGCAGTCATTCAACCGCAAAATTGCTAAATTATTTGCGAACATCATTAAGGATGCAGTCACAGATTCCTATAGAAAGCAGCCGTAAAATCAAGCAACAACAATGTTTATCGAATTTAGATTGCTCTTACAAGGTTTCAGTTTCGCGATTAGTTCCTATTTGAATTAATCAAGCTCGTAATTGCTCCGTTCTGATGGCTTAAGCCGATAATGTCGATGTTACAAGTCAATAAATAGAATCAACCCCATGGTACATGAATAGGAAGTTGATTGTGATGTAACAAGGGTCCACCCCCTCCCTATCATCACAAGTGGCCCTCTAACGCCTCTATAAATCCGATAAATATTTTATCGGACAAATTGCCCAATTAAAAGGGGAAAATATGAATCAAATGATTGGAGAAAAAAGTCGTATCATTAGAGAAAACAATCTAATTAAATTGGACTGTGCACGAGCAGCTACTGGCCTCATCTCATCATTACTCCAACAATGGTGGCAACGTTCCGGAACAAAATCTTCGCTCTTGTTCACGCCACTATACTCCAGTAATTTTCTCGAACTTGTTACGCATTTGATGTGAAAATGGCTACCTACCTCCCAGTTTTGGTGATGATCATTTCCGTTCCAAGATCGTGGAATTTGTCCCAGAGGTCTTTGGTTTCGAGATGACATTCGACGTTGAGCAACTCGTCGCAGTTGCACGATATTTTTGCTTTCGAATTGGGTTTTTCTTGGACTATGTCGGGGGATTCCCGGTCTAAATCGGCCGGTTCCGAACCACAATCTGAAATTGCGGGAGATTGTCGAAGTTTGGGTTTTGAAATTCTCGCGGATTCGCTGTCCGAACATTCCTCCACGTCAACTTCTATATCATCGTCCTCCAAGGGATCCTCGATGTCGGGTGAGCTGGATCGTGAAGCGGCACCTGGAAAGTTCACTCAAATCAGGGCTTGATCGTGATAGGGAAGTGTTAATCCAGCCATGCATTTTTTTTAAACTAGTCCAATTCATATGTACAGGGTGTCTAAAAAAATGTTGTAATTCCCTAAGTCAAAATAATTAAAAAGTTCCTATGTCCGGAAATGCTTCCTGAAGATGGCAGGAAAAAAGCCTTTTTTTTCTTCAATTATTTTAGTGATTGATAAATATAAATTTACAAAAGTTTGCATCCAGAGTAATTTTGACGCTGAATCAAAAATTGTGTAATCTAAATAGAAGCGGAGGCACTGAGTTTAATCTATTTAAGACGTAAAATTTTAGTGTGGAAAATATATTTGAATTTTTGTAACAAATTCAAACTCCGTATTTAATTTTTTTCAAAAAATATTTATTATGTTACTTTTCTACGACGCGACGCACCTTTTCCCGAAAAACGAGATTTTTTATAATACGCGCACCGGCCTTACGATAATTCTGAAAATCAAGCCCCATAATGTATTTTCATATAAGGTTCGATCGATCTAGGTCTATAAGGAAGCATTTGTGGACTCATGTTAGTAAAAACTTTTTTTCTTATTTTGACCTAGAAAATCATCCCCCAAAATCTTGCAATCTTTTTTTCCGAAAACCCTGTAAATACAAATTTCCAATTTAGTTTTAAATTTCAGAAAATATACAAGGTGTGTCAGAACTTGCGCCCCAGGAAAAATTTCAAGTAAGATAAAATACATGGAAAAAATGTTTAAAAAATTCGACCTGAAGAAAAATTTTGACATTTTTTATTTCTATTATATTCCGTTAATGATACTGATGATTTTGTATATGTTTTTATATAATTATTTAGTAAAGGTACAAAAATTTTGCCAATAGAAACCACAAATAACATTAAGCAAAGCTACAATTTAGGATACAGCTTCCTTGTTTCCTTTTCTAATAGCCTGTGGCAAAAAAACTTAGAAAATCATTTTTCCAACAGAAATAGAGTGCAAAATTTAAACTTTCACAACTTCAAAGTTTTATAGATGGAATTTTTTAAAACATTTTTCCCATGTTCTCTGGGAGTGAGAGTGGCACAGCCTGTATTTTTCTTTAATGCAAAGTACACATATGATTGTCTAAAATTTTTGAATAAGCAAGTATCTTCCAATTTGTGTAGTAAAATTAAATAAAATTACATGCCACTAAGTCCATTATCTAGTAATACAGCGTGGTTATAATAATTGCCGTAATACAATTAAACTGATAGGTACAAATGATTGAACATCAAGAAACAGAAATTGAAGAATTAGGTTTTGTTAGTCATAAAACAATTTCAATTAGACAATAACTTGTTCTTACATGCGAATGATATCACTTATGCATGAAACAGAAATCAAAATAATGGTTTTCAATTATTTCATGTCTTGGTAAAGTGAAAATGTAATTTTGCAATTCCGTTTGAGAAAATATTAATTATGAACTGTTATAACCGCACCTCTCTTATTATTTATCCCTAATGTCCCATTTTGTTACGGAATAAAAATATGTAATTATTGTTAAACTCAGAAAAATATAGAAAAAAAAGACATGAATACCTCTTTATTTATATAGTTAAATACCAACACGTATTTTTTTTAATATTTTTTTTTACTACTGGTATACATATTCTCATACCTATTCAGTTGAAGTAATTTACGCTTTTTCAAATTTTAGTTTTTTATAGCTTTGTTCACCACCATATGCATAAAAATTGAATAATTACATCCATTCATCATTAATATTGAGACATATTTTAATAAATAGTAAAAGTATACGTAAAAAATGTCGTAAAAGTTGATGACTGCCACATAAATCCTGTTTGACGGGTTTATTTTTAAAATTTAATAAGGGTAATAATTTTGAAAAACTTGACTGTATGAAACAATTTGTCTGTAACTGATAATTAGATACTTTTAATCGATTAATTTATTAAAATAGTGTAGATAATTACTTGCAAGTACAAAATTCCTTTTTAGTAGTTTGTTAACTTTAATAGAGGTTCTGGGATTGTTAATCAAGTTTAATCTTCATAGGTATCATACACTAATTATCAGTTAATTACTTCGTGGAGTAATAAAAATAAAATAGGTGATAATTAGCTATTAGAGGTTTGTTAGGAAATATTTACACCATCGGTGTCTTGCAAACGACAACTACTTTTTAATTTAAACTGAAACAACATTTAGAGAATATGTAAAAATATCATATTTTGTGACCACTATTATTATAGTATAATCTTCACAAAAACTTTGATATTGTTTATAAATAAATAAAATTGCCCTAAACAAAAACCCCACTAACACGTGGACATTGACACTCAGAAACAATTTTGTAGATTTTACAAGTCTAAGTAATATTCTTTATTAAAAATCGATTTTCTATATTATTGAAACTTGGCGCAGTCGCAAATTTTTTTATCATGTTTTTTGAAACTACGAGTTTTCTTTAAATTAAGTTTATTGTTTAACTCTCAAATTAGAAACAAACAATTAAACTACATATTCGAATGAATTAAAAATCTTTTTTTAAGGAAAATCAATTATTACATCCACTGTTTTACCTCAAATTAACAAAAACGGAATTGAAAAATGGAGAGACAATTTATTAGGAATCGTTTATTAGTATAGTTTGAAAATTTGGTGAAATAGAGGCGTTTTTTATTGTAAATATAATATGGGAGGAATATTTTAAATGCAAAGGTAGCAACAAAGCTTCTTTCTTTTTGTAAAATGGAAGCTTGTACAGTTTAGCCAGTACAAATATCATAAGTAATAACAAATGTCAACAATAAAAAGTGACATAGACATTAAGTACACTTTACTGCCTATCGCAATCATAATTTGTTAGGTTTATTAGAACCCTGAATGTCACGACTACCTACATCAGTTTAAATTTTGTTCTTAAGTGAAATTATTAAAGTAAGACCAAGGTGTAGCAATAAAAATTGTAATGAGGTCAATAAAACAAAGTCGGAGGCTAGGTAATGAGGTACAATTGGTTGAACTGACCGTCGCCTGGCAGTTCTCTGGCGTCGGCGTCCGGCGGCGCGACGGCTCCTCTGGCCATAATCGCGGCGATGGAAAAGTCAGTGGCGCGCGTCTTCGCCGTGGGCACAAGCAACCCAGCGGCTGCACTTTCCTCGGGCATCGCACCGAGTAGCATCACAAACACTGGAAAGTCACAAGTCACAAAGAACCCATGCACCGTCAGTCAACAACACATGTCCAGTACAACTGGTACCCACTGAAAGACTGACTGGTCGGGGCCGCGGACCGGCGGCGCTGCAAAAGGGGGCGTTCCTCGGGGCGGGGCTTTCGGAGGCGTGGAGGGTTGTGTGTGTGGTCTGCTATCAGTTTCGCGTGACTTGAGCTATCAATCAGAGGCTGTGGTAGCAGTGGCGACATAGTCTGTAGACAGGCCACTTGATATCACTCCCCGGATTCCCTGGGCCACCCACCGGTCACCGCCGGCAATCGCCAACCCGGCCATTGCTGCCCATTATAAGCATGTACTCCACTCATTCAATAGTCCTACTATTCATTCCGCTGACGCTGACGCCTGTCTCACGCACGTCAATTATTACACACATTGCCAGATGCGCATTCTACTGGAGGAGGACGACGGACATTGGCTTCGGATATAAGATGACGAGGTGGTTTTAGCACTAATGCAATACGATTAGCTTGCTTCCTTACGACTTGCAACTAAGAATTTATTTTTCTACATTGAAAAGTACCAATTAAATACATTTCTAATTATAACTTATCAAAATACCAAAAAGACAGATTTGATGAGCGCAATGTAGATATTTTAAGTATAAAATTATCATCTTGCTCTATTGAAATATATTATTTTTCCAACACTAATATCTTAAACTGTTTCTATACCTACTACATTTGGATTTGAAATTTAGATATTTTTCCATATGCTTTTTAGACACTAATGCCTAGCTTATCTGTTATGCTTCCCCTATTATACGCTCTTCTATAAAGTACGTCGTCAACCACAACGTATTTTATAAGTACATAAAATATGATGTACCTACTTTTATATTGGAATTTTGTCAATTTTGATATTATTTTGACAAGTTATTTTATAACAATTTTTAAATTTTTAAATTTAGTAAAATTTTTGATTCAATATTAGCAGTGTTAGAAAAAGATTTTTATAGTTTAAAACTCTTATTGTCATAATTGCTAGTTTTTGAGAATCAGCAAAATCAACATCTTCAACATTTTTTAAACATACATACTAATTAAAATTCTTTGTACAATTTATTCATATAATACTCCTACTAAATGCGTATTACCATACCTACCAGATAATGCACATGTTCACGTTATGAGTATTTTCTAAACCTCTATATAATATCTATATTTAAATCTCGGTGTAATATATTAAGATACAAGTTGCAGAATAAATTTCTTTTTTAAATATTTCATAAGTCTCACAATATAAAAGTTTTACTGTATAAACGTCTAGGATATAAAGAATGCAATAACAAAAAAAGGCTTAAAGCCGCAAAATAGAATATGAAAAATTATACAAACTTTAAACGGAAGTTTCTTTAAATGGTCTTACCTATAGCTAAGTACCTATTAAGACAACAAGAAATTTGTACAGTTTAAAAATCAAAGTGGCGGTGTTAGAAAAAGTATGCAGGGTGTTTCAAAAATTCAAGTAAGATAAGATATCAAAAACATGGAAAAAATGTTTAAAAAATTTGACAAAAATAAATACAGGGTGATTCTTAAATAGACCGACAAAATTTTATCACAGCTTTCCAAGCATAAATGGAAATAATCTGTACCCTTTTTACGTTGATATTTTCACTTACTTACTTTATGAATTGTTGCAATGATCAAGTACTTACATTTTGATCAAATTAATACCATGGTTTCCACTACCTGTGCTAATACTATTTACGAATACATCAGTGGCGTACGCTTTACCTCAAAAATAACTTTAATAAATTTTATTTGGAGAACGGTTAAACAAAGAATTTTTTCAATATTTTTTCCAGCATGTTCTCATTTGATACTACCAAGGATAGAATTTTGTCGGTCTATTTAACAATCACCCTGTATAGAGTCAAAGTGCATAACTTCAAAATTTTTATAGACTGAATTTTTTTAACATTTTTGTTCACGTTCCTGGTATCTCTGAGACGCGAGTTCTGGCGCACCCTGTATAAAACTGATGTTTAAAAAGTATTGAAAAATTATTTAACACATTAAAACTATATATTTAAAAATTAGTATTGTAATAACTTTTACATTCTGAAAATTTTCAAATTCCTAATATTTTGCCTCACCTTGTATATGCAAATGTTAATAACAAAAGATAAAAATACCAGGTGTAATTAAATAGGTATATATACAGGGTGAATATAAAGTATGGAACCAAGCGGTTTTTTTTAATCATTTGCCTCCAGAAAATAATAATTTATATAAATTAAAGTAATATAAAAAATGTGATAGTATTTTGAGTACGAAATTTTATTTTGTTTTT